CTCTCTCTCTCTCTCTCTCTCTCTCTCTCTCTCTCTCTCTCTCTCTCTCTCTCTCTCTCTCTCTCTCTCTCTCTCTCTCTCTCTCTTGTCTGTCTTCATTTCGAGTTTGTTAAATGCGATCATGATGCATCTGATAGAGTCAGAATAGGGTGGGAATCTCTCTCCCTCTCTGTGGAGGGAAGGAAGGGCATAGGGGGAGGGACAGGATGGGGTGGGGAGGAACGGTATGGATGGGATCGTTGCTGGGGAGGAGTGGCAGGAGAGCATTGAGGACCAGACCACGTCTGGGTGGGATAGCGGACTCTCTGCTGATGTTAAATTGAAAAGAAAAAAATGGAGTTCGGGGGCTCCACCCGTTGGAAAGTGGGACCAACTTCCCTTAAACCACCACTACCTTTCACAGGCAAACACAAAGTCCATCTGGTAGCCTACTCCTGAAAACATGGGGCTCGGGGCAGGGTTGGAGGCCGACGAAATAATAATGTACAAAAGAGAAAAAGAAACAGAAAAAACAAAGAGTTGGACGTTGGGGAAGGCCCTCATGAGGGTGGCATGTAACACCAGTGCTTTGAGGAATGTATCTCGCCACTATGTGTGGTGAAAGTTTTTTTTTTTTTTTTTTTTTCGTTGTTTGTGTGCTACACGCCCTCTGTAAGGGCACAGTCACACAAGCACCTCATAGAATGTATCTGGTGGTTATTGTGGCGTTGGGGAAGTTTCTTTTTTTTCTTTTTCTTCTTCTTTTTTTTTCCGTTTTCCCTTCTCGGACGAAACTGCCCCGGCTTGGCAAAACTCGGTGCGCACTGCGCAGTGAAAATCAGGCTCGGCAAAAACAGGACCGGAGGTAGTGGTGGTTTAAAATAATAATAATAATAATAATAATAACATGATAAGAAAAGGAAGCTCATGTTAAGTTTGCATTATTGGGGTTGGCAAACTGTGGTGCAGAGATTGCAGGAGGAATTGTTCTTGGCCCGTCGGTGCTGGGGTACATTCCAGGCTGGGTCAGCACCCTCTTCCCTGCTTCATCGATGCGAATTCTCGAAACATTTGCCAGCATTGGACTCATCTTCTACCTTTTCCTTGTGGGAGTCGAAATCGACACTGATTCCCTGCGGAAGACAGGTGCATCTGCTGTAGCGATTGCCCTGTCGGGGATCTTTGTGCCCTTTGTAATTGGCATTGGAGTCTCTTACGTGATCGTAATGGCAACGGTGCACGACAGAGAAGTATCGATGGCCTTTGTGGTTTTCATTGGCGTTGCCTTGTCCATTACTGCCTTCCCAGTGCTTGCTCGCATATTGGCAGAACGGCGGCTGCTGACGACGCATGTTGGACAGGTGGCGATGTCAGCAGCAGCTGTCAATGATGTAGCAGCGTGGGTGCTTCTCGCTCTCGCAGTTGCGCTTGCGAGCTCCACGTCAAACACTTCCGATGAAACTGCCAAGAGTACAATCGAAACAACAGCGGTCGGGATGGTCGTCAATGTGACCATGTTCGCCCCGGTGGTCGCTGTGCCATCGGATGAGGACAGGCGAATGCTTGTCATAAAGGCAGAAGACATAGCCAGCACAACAAGTCCACTTGAGCCGCTTGATGTACACCATCTGGCTCCGAGAGGAGTGCGTGATGTACATGTGCAGCACAACTCAGAAGGTCAAAAGACCTCTCCGTTGGTTGCACTCTGGGTGCTGCTTTTGGGTGTGGCTTTTGTGGGCATGATGTTCATTGTGGTGAAGCCTCTGATGATCCGCATAGCATGTGAGCAGACTGCCATGGGTTCAGATCAGCCTGTGAGTGAAGCATCGGTTGCATTGATATTTGCGTTGGTTCTTCTGTCTGCATTTTGCACGGACATCTTTGGGATTCATGCAATCTTTGGTGCCTTTGTCCTGGGCTTTCTCATCCCCCACAAGAGCGCATTCGCAAAGGCGTTGACGCAGCGAATCGAGGACTTTGTCTCCATTCTGTTTCTCCCCCTCTACTTCGCCTCCTCTGGGCTGAAGACTAGGGTTGCCACTGTGAACAATGGCACTTCTGTCGGGATCCTTTTTCTGGTCATTGCAACTGCATGTGCTGGTAAGATACTAGGGACTTTTGTTGCAGCAAGATTGACTGGGTTGGACAGCCGCAAAGCTTGGGCTCTGGGCGTCTTGATGAACACCAAGGGACTTGTGGAGCTTATTGTGCTGAACATTGGCCTCAGCAAAGGGGTATGAAAAACACTTTTATCCTTCTCAGCCAGTGCTCAGACAAAGAAATGGAAAGAAAGGGACATCTTCACCCCCACTACCAATTGAATTGAAGTTGGTTGAGCACTGGACATGACCAGCCATCACCTTCCCGCATGAGAAATGCTGCTCGTCGTTGATTGACAGGCGACGTTTTGTGTTGAGAAATGCTGCTCGTCGTTGATTGACAGGTGACGTTTGTGGTTGACATCCTCATCCTCATCATCCTTGTGGAGGATGAGCAAGAGCCTATCATAAGTTTAGTCATCATCCCTTGTTGCCACCATCATTATGGGCACCATTTTTTGTAGACGTCCTCCTCCTCACCATCATCTATCATGACCATCTTCAGCATTGCTGTCGTCATCATTGTCATCATCCTCACTGTTCTCAAAATTGACCCCTTGGTCATCATGATAATGCAGCAGCAGGAGCCACATCATCACCACCTTTAATTGATTCCTGTATGGATCATGACAGCTGTCCATTTTCGGCAGGATGCACATAAGACCCAGGCGCACGGCGAGACCGGGGACCGATGGGGCTCCTTGGTTCAGGCGGCCTTAATGCATGTTTTCTTTTTGTTTGTTTGTTTGTTTGGCAGCACGGCGGGTTATTAAGTATGAGTGACGGTTCTTCTTTTTTTGTGCGGCACCCCGGGGTATTGAGGGCCGGGTGCCATTTGATCGAGATGTTCTTTTACCCACGGCCGGGCAGCAGGGTATCAAGGGCCGGGCAGCTGTTATTGAGGGCTGTGCAGGGGGGTATCGAGGGCCGGGCGAGGGGGATCATGGGACGGGCGGCAGGGGATGGAGGGCCGGGCAGCAGGGGGTCGATGGCTATGCAGTTGGGTATTGAGGGCTGCAGGGCGGGGTATCAAGAGGTGTGCAACGTTTGAGCGAGAGTTTTGTTTTGGGTGGCAGCTTGGCAGGGTATTGAGGGCCACACGTCGTTTTGAACACAGACATGCTCAAGTGCTCAAGTGCAAGTACACACCTGAACTGTGTGGATGAGCAGTACAAATCTAACTGTTGGTAAACAGGTCATGAGTTCAAAGTGCAACGGAAACAGATGTGCAAAAAAAAAAGGAAACACGTCATGAGTTCAAATTGCAGAGGAGTCAGATGTGTGTGTGTTCTTGTGCTTTGGTTTTGTCAGCAACTGTGATGGTCCCATCAAGCCACATGGTATGACCTACCCCACATGGCACCGCCTGGTCCACTTGGCACTGCCACGCCCACATAGTACCACGTGGTGCTGCCTGGTCGTGGCAAGGGTTGAGTTGTGCCTATTTTCCTTTTGGTGTGTGTGTGTGTGTGTTTGTGTTTGGTGGCTCTGTGTGTCTTTGTATCATCAGCCCGCATAGTGTGACTCGCCCCGCATTGTGCCGCGCAGTCCATATGGTGCCACCCTGCCCACATGGTACCAGCAGGCCTGTGCTTCTTTCTTTTTCTTTCTTGTAGGCGTCTGTTTATTGCTGCCTATCGAGTCCACGTAGTATGACGCACCCCGCATAGTACCTCTGTGTGGGTGTGTGTAAAGTGTGTGGCAGTTCTGCCCGCCCTACCCCCCCGCACTGGACATAACACTGCTCTGGTGGAGAGCCTCAAAAGGTTTCTGATTTTCTCTCTTTCCTTTTTGCCTGTTTCTGATGTGGAGAGAGACCCCTCCTCCCGCCTGTCGTCTGCGTCGCAGGTGGAGCTGCAGTGGGCAACCTCTCGTTTTTTTCATAAATTGAGCATTTCTCGATTCATGTGTGCCATCCTTGTGCAGGCGCCATGCGAATCTTTACTGGATCGTTTCAATTTTAACGGACGTTACAAAGGACACCGCTGATAATGTCAATCTGTGCTGTGCCTCCTAAAGCACAGAAACAGCATTGTTGTTGAATGCAACACTTATCACGATACCTGTGTATTGAATTGAAGTGATGTGTCCCAAGCTGTTTTATGCAGCCAGCTGGTAAGGCCATTATTGTCAGATGGACTCAGCCAGCCACGTGGCAAAGAAAAAACTACTTTTGAGCTGACAGATCTTCCTCTCCCCCTACCTGCTGCCTTGTTCTTTGGTGGCATCTATCCCTGCTCCTCGGACACGACTTATTCCCTCTTCCCTTCCCTTTTCAACACCCATCATCGCCCAGTAAACATTTTGGCATGTCTGATCCAGCCATATTATGAAAAGTAACAGACTGCTCTCCTATAGACTTCTCCTCTCTTTTCCCTGTGTTTAAAGAAGGGAGTTGGCCCTTCAGATCGTTGTATCAGTCTGATTTCAGGGATTTAAACTTATGAAGTTATGATCTGTTTATTAACAGCATTATGTGTATATATGATTCAGCCCACAAGGAAGGCACTTGACTCCTCTTCTCTATCCCCAAGCTTCTAGCTGACTCTTGCATCTCCTTTGCTTCTTTCTTTGCCCTCATTCTGCCTCTCTCTCTCTCTTCCTTGCAGGTCATCACAGTTGAACTCTTCACAATCATGGTTCTGATGGCACTTGTAACCACATTTATGACCACCCCTCTTGTGATGTGGATCTACAAGCCAGCGCGGGGAGCCCTCCCTTACACGCGCCGCAAGTTGGACATGTATGCTGCGGCTGGTGAGAAGCCAACGAGTGTGGACGACGGGCTTGCAGTCGGCTATTCGGAGCCCCCGTCGGCCCTCCGGTTACTGATCTGTGTGCACGGAATGCGTAACCTACCTGCTGCAACAAGCCTGACAAGCATGATCGCACAAAGCATGGAGATATCGAATGCCATTGTGAACATGCAAGGGAAGCGGAAGATGCGTTTCGCCGGTAATCTATTAGGAATGTCTAGTCCGTTTTCAAAGGCACCAGGAGCATCTGATTCATCTGCTACTGACAAGAAATGTCAGCCAGTGCCACAGGGGCAGCAGGAGCAGGTGATGCCGCAAAGTCCGGCTACTGGTGTGCTTGATGGTGATGTCAGCAACCAGCGCAACCCGCATAAAAGTGGTGGTGAAAGTGAGATTGATGTCCAGAAGATAAATCTCTCATTCACACCAAAGAAGGCTTCTGAGACAGCAAAAAGAGGAGTTCTTGAGGCGGGGGTTCCTCTCGAGCTGGACCCACCACCGAGTGGTGGTCCATCAGAGCTGCAAATACCTGAAAGGGGGAACTGGCAGGCAGGAGATGGTGATAAGGTGGGCAAAGGGGAGAACAACTTACGATTGGGTGGCGGAGAAGGATTATGGACTGAGGAAAGGTCCAAAAGTGTGGCGGTGACTCTCCCCGTCAGTCCTCCATCCGCCAGGTATGTCAGGCTGGCAGTGCAAATAAAAGCAGCAGCTGCTGCTGCGGGCGCCGAAGCTGCCAATTCATCAGGAAAAGATGGGGCCATGGCACTGGTAACCTCAGTACAGGGGACAGATTCTGCTTCTGCTTCTGGTCCTGGTCCTGGAGCAGGCACTGAAGGCCACAAGGGACGACCGGGCCCGAGAGACGGGTGCAGCAAAAGTGAAGGTCAAGAAGCTGTCGGCGGTAAGCTTGGCAATGATCCCAGTTCCTTAGTCTCTGCGGATAGCAATCAGTTTAGCGATAGAGGAGTTAACCCCCAAAATGCTGTTGCCTTTCTCAGGCCGGTACGCACTCGACTCAAAGTGTATTTGCTGCATCTGATGGAGCTCACGGAACGGTCTTCATCGATCATGACGGTTTGGCGGGCAAGGCGTGAAGGCAGACCATTTTGGAATCGTAAAACGACCATTGCGGAGGAGTTTGATGATGTGGGGATGCTTTTTGAGGCTTTTGGACGAATACGCAAGGTTGTATGTCGCTCCGTAATGTCTATCAGCAGGTTTGAAGACATGCACGAAGATATCTGCATGGCTGCCATTCAGAAACAAGTTCAGCTCATCCTGCTGCCTTTCCATGGGTTCGTAACACGCTTTCTTGGAGATCATGGTGCGACATGCAATCGGAAAAAAAAAAAGGAAAAAAAAAGAAGTCTTTCCATGGTTTAGGAACTACCATCTTCACCCGAATAGACCGCCCGGTCGTTAGTGCTGTATTTGGGTCAGCCTCCAGTCCAGATACAGGTGAAATGACCGGGCGTTCTATTCGGGTGAAGACGGTAGCTCACTTGGTGAACATGGTGTGCCATTAATTCCTTAAGAAAGGGGGGAGAAAACCGAAAAAAGTTGCCTTTCCACGGGTTCGTATCTTTGCTTGCTCGGAGAACATGACATGGCATGAAATTCATGAAAAAGCCAGAAGAAGAACAAAAAAAAAAAAGGGGGAGGGGGGGGTAAGTTTGCCTCTGTAGCTTCTTTAGCCGTTTAGGGGTTCGCGAGGACCAGCCAACGACAAGTTGACAACATAAAATTTTTCGATGCAAAAGCTCATAGAACACTAATCATGCATAAGCCAAGTCGGAAAAAAAAAAGAAAAAAAAAAAGTCGAAAGCAGAAAATGACCAAGTTGTCCTTTGGGACATCCGTTAAAATAGGAACGATACAGAGAAGATTAGCATGGCCCCTGCGCAAGGATGACACGCATAAATCGAGAAATGGTCCAAATTTTTAGAGAGAGAAAAAAAAAAAGGCCAAGTTGAGAGGACACCAAAAAACACTGAGCACCCGAAGTCTGTCGACAATGAAAGCCCTGCTTGCGCCCCCAACAATCATTAGAACAACAATGCAGTAACCCTACTAAGATGTGTCCTCCCATGCATGTGCTGCTCCTCCAGTGGTGCCACATGCTGCCATGGCCCAATGCGTCTCCCCTGCCTGCCCTTGTCTGCTTTGTCTTACTTACAGCCGGGATCCGAGTCTCCGGTAGGCAATCCCTACCAGCCTGGGTCTGAGTCTAGGCCCCAGCCCATGTACCTAGCTGGTGGGTATGGTATCCCAATAGGGCCTACAGGGTAGTTACCAGGGCTGGCCTCCAAGTTGGGCCCAGTACTTAGGTGCGGCCCTCAGGGCTTGATACATGCTCAGTCGAGCGATGTATATGAAGCCAAGGATCCGCAAAGTGATGAAAAGGACTCGATTGAAAATGCAGCGTCAGCAAAAGCATCAACAAGCAATGTGCATCCAGATACATACGAAAATAGCATAATGTAGCGCAATGGAAGACTCAAAGATATGACTTGACCTGTCAGATACTGACGCGACACCCCATCATACACCACACATGTGAGAGAGAGAGGAGGGACCGCATACATAGAAGAAAGGGCCCTCCTTGATCATGCACATGGGGAGATACCACGGATGAGGAGATGGGGGAGAGAAGCGAGATGAAGATGGAGATGAGGGAGAAGACCAAGATCATGATAGCGAAGTCCAAAAATAGTCTCCCTGCCGAATGTCCAATCAATGTCTGCCACAAAAATGT